GGGCCCCCTCATTCCATAGTACCCCCATCTCTCTCCTGGGGAAGGACAGAGCCCATCCCACAACATTGCAGGATACAGAGAAAGGTGAACATCAGCAGCAGGATGGCCCCAATGGACGGGCCGGACAGTGCAAAGGTGCTCGTCAGTTCCTGCAGGTTCTCCAGGATCCTGTGGGCAGAGACAGAGGCTTTGTGGGGGGGCTTCAGGGCTGCAGAAGCCCATGGGATTTTATTCACCTTGTTATGTTGCATGTGAGTTCTACTGTCCTATAGTAATCCCAGGTGTGTGCCTCAGTTTCCCAGGGCACTGCACCAATACCTAGATGGTAATGGGAATTCTATCTTGTGCACAATGGCTGATGCTCTTCCTAACCTGAGCCCAGGGGAAGGTACCGCCAAGTGTCACCTTTTTCCCAGGAACCAGGACAAAGACTGGAGGAAGAGCCTGGCTGGGAGGCTGCCCAGAATGGTCATCTTGGCGTGCAAGACAAGATCCAGGCCTAGCTCTGGGGGCCCTCTCCCCAGGATGGATGGTGCAGGCTGCTTCTGGTTCCTGTGCTGACAAGTCTGTTCTATGCTGTGTCGCTGTCAACTAATAACCCTGTTCTGCCTGCTGGCTGAGACTCACATCTGGCTCCAGAGGGGGATGCAGGGCCCAGTGACTCCCCCACACTTTGGTGACAGGGGCACTAGCCAGAAGAGGGCCCACTCGTGGGGGGTGTTCCAGGGCACATGGGGGGCAGGGTGAGGTTACCCAGGGGATGGCACTGGGGTCAGCAGGGGCATGGCAGCTTAGGGTGAGGCCTCATCCCCTGGGGGACAGGGAGAGGGGCAAGGGAGCCACAAGAAGAGGGAGGAAGGGAAAAGGCAGGGGTCATAGCAAAGGGACAGCACCCAGGCCCGCAGCAGGGCCCCATCTTCACTGCCCAGTGCTTTGCTCCCCACCCCCCCAACCTCTGGGCCCACCAGACACTGACTGCAGTGTGAGCAGCAGCCTCAGGACCCGCACAGCTCGGATGCCCTTAAAGACGCGGAGCACGCGGACGAGGCTGCTTGCGTCACTATGGGTGGCTTGGCCCATCGAGAGAAGGAGCGGCAGCACAAAGTCCAGCATCATCATGATCATGATGAAAAAATCTGTGGGGAGAGGGAAAGGGGTGAGGAGAGAGCAGCAGCATCAAGGAGCGGGGCCACCACTAACACCCCCACAATAGCCACTTCCCAGGGCCAGGCACACCAACCCCTCACAAGCACTCAGCCCCGTCTCTTGCCCCATGCTGCCTTGACCCCCAGGCCACCTGCATACATGCTAGAGGCCAGATGACTCATCTCAGCCTCTCCCCGCATGGGCCCAGCCCCAGGAAATCATTCTGCCCCAGTTCCCAGCAAGGGTTCCCCTGACCCCCTCACATGATGACTCACCAATGTCGTTCCAAGGGTTGCGGAAGTAGTCAAGGTCCAGGGCGATGATTTTCAGCAGTGCCTCCAGCACGTACACACACAGGAAAACAGCATCCATGGCAGAGAAGAACCATTCTGAGGGGGGAGAGCAGACTGCTGTGAGGGAATGTACCCACTAGGCCATGCTGCTCTTGACCCCCATGCCTGACTAGAGAACACTTGTTGTGTGGCAGTGGGTACCCACATGCTGGACTCAGCCCCACCCTGAATGCAGACAGGATGGCCTAGTGGGTAAAGAAACCAGGACTCCTGGGTTCTCTGTCTTTGGGGAGAGGGGTGGCCAGTGGTTAGCACAAGGGAGCTGGAAGCCACAAACTCTGCTACTGATCTCCTGTGTGACCTGAGGCAAAGTCCTCACCACCTCAGTTTCCTCATGTCTCACGGAGGGTGAGATCCTCAGGGCAGAGACTGTCACTCCTGGTGAGTCTGTGTAGAGCCCAGCACAGGTGCTCTGATCTTGGCCAGGTCACAGATACTCTCAATACCCAATAGCCATGAGCTGCCCCCTGAAGTGAGGTGGATGCAGGCCTGGCCAAAGAGTTTGCGGGGCCCAAGGTGGTGTGTTGTGGTTGGCTGCACCGTGTGGTTGGGTGGTTCCCAGCCAGGGCAACGAGTGAGCAGCCGAACAGGCAGGCACCAGGCAACGTGGGGCCCTGAGAGCGCGGGGCCCAAGGCAACCGCCTTGCTCTCCTTGCCTCAGGCTGGGCCTGGGTGGATGTTTGGATGGGGAAATGGGGGAAACTCCAGGAAGGTGGTAGCATCTCAGACTAGTCAGGGATATGGGGGAGACCAGTGCTGGGTGAATGGGAACTGGGATGTCCCAGGGTGGGCAGAGAGAAATAGGCCAACCCTATGGGTAGGTGATAGGAGTCCTAGTGTGGGTGAGGGGCCCAGGCTGGGTGGAAGACAGGGGGGGGGGGGTCCAATCCTCATGGCTGAGATTGGGAAGCGATGGGGCATTCTCCATGGCTGGGACAGTGTGGATAGGGAAATGGGATGATCCCCATGGATAGACCAGGCAGTGGCAGGGGGTTGATGGGACAATCCCCATGACTTGCAGGGGGTAATGAGATGAACCCCATGGCCAGACCAGGTGGGGGCAGCCTCACCTCCGCGGACCTGCACTTCAGCAAAGGTCTGCGCCACCAGCACGGTCGTGTGGATGCCGACCACGGTGAAGATGAAGAGTTCGAAGGCCAGCAGCTCAGTGAACTTGCGGATGATGGCCCGCAGGGTCAGCAGCTGGGGCAAAGTCTTCTCCCACACACTCTGCAACAGGACCATCTTGCCCATCCGCTTCCGTCCCTGTCCCTGCTTGCCTAGGCACAGATGCCCCAGATCAGCCATGATAGGGAAGCTACAGGATAAATGCAAGATATAGTGGGCAGGGCGGGCTGTGGGTTGCATGGAGGGGGCTGTGTAGACGGCAGGGGCACCCTATAAGGGGTTGGGGGGGAATAAAGTGTCACAGTCCCTCTGACTGCCCTCAGACCATGATGATGCGTCTTGGGGTTGGGGGAATATGGAGTGAAGAGTTGCAAGATGTAAAGTGCGCTATGGCAGAGGGAGCCCCATCTTACCTTTGGCTCTCAGGGAGAGATGCTGGGGGGCAGGGGGACAGGGAGGCAGTTTCCCTGGGGTACGGTTGGGGGCTAGGTTGGGGGAGTATGTGGACATGTGGGAGGATGGAGTGTCCAGGGAGTCCCCCATTACCTTTTGTTATCTTCGGGGGAGTGGAGGAGGCAGAAGTGATGTGCGAGGAGATCTGGGACACAGGGGGCGTCTCCTCCTTGTATGGAGGCTTCTCCATCTGGAGGCCCGACACAATGGGCACAGTCAGATAGTCCATGGTGCTTGTTTGCCCCACCTCCCCCTTTTTGGGACCCCGCGTTCCAATTTCCTCAGCTCCTCCTTTCTTCTGTCGTGTCCCCATCTGCGCTCACTTCCCAGGCTGACTGTCCTGGTGGCCCCAGAACCCCAGAGGCCTGGAGATTCCGGATCAGAGGCCCCCCCTTTGTAATGGCATCACTGTGGTGACCCCTAAACACCATAGGGGATGGAAGGGAGAGGGAGAGGGCAGGGGCCTGCAAGGACAGGATGGGGCTCAGCAGAGTGAAAGGAGCCTGGGTTGGGCCTCAGGAAGGAACTGTGCGGCAGAGCATGGTTTGGGGGGCAGGGAAAGGCGGTATGTAAGGTTGTAGGGAAGAGGTGGGGATGGGGAAATGTCTATGGGGGTGCAGAGCAGGAGGTGGCAGGAGCTCTGTGGAATGGCAGAAGGGTTGGGGCCTAACTGTTTGGGGAGGACTCTGTGTTACAAGGGGCTTGCAGATGGGGGGGCAACCTGAGAGTATGTAGTGATGTAAGGGGAGGGGGAGAGCGAGAGCGTGGGGGGCAGACTGAGCACAGCAGCTTCAGCAGTGTCACTGAGCATGCTCAGTACAAGTCAAGCAGCTGATTGTTCAAGGGGGAGGAGAACGGAACTGACCTCTTCCCCCTCCATTCCACACATCACCTCTTTCCAGGAGCTGCTAAGGCACTGGAAAACTCTAGTTTTTTGTCAGATAACTTAGCAATTAGCCAATAGAAGCACTGTAGCTATATCTATATTAGAGAGCGTCTGTCTGTGAGCCCATATCTCTGCAAGTCCATTTGTTCAAGAGCTCCTCCTAAACAGTAAGAGCCAGGGCCACCACATTTGGTAGGCAGCTTCCTCTTATCTTAACTTAAAGCAAGGTCAGGGTTTGGCTGTGCCAGGACAATGAGAAGTCCCTGGAATGGGACTGTTTTCTATAACATGGAAAGGGCACAAAGGAGGGATGTGATACTCACAGTAGCCACTGACGGCAGCAAGTGTAGGGGAGAGCTATTCTGCAGAGCAACCACTGGGACAGCTGAACTGGAGAGTGGCCAGCTGGGGATCGCCATCTTGCCTGCCTGAGTAAGTAGCTGCCCCACCAGCCCTTGGCTGCAGCACTGGAGGGGTAGAAAGCCCTGCTGGACAGGGGAAGAGGCCAACAGGGGTGCTGGGGGAGAGAAAAGGCCTCTGCCAGCCAGGGGTTCTGGGAAGAGAGAGATGGCCCCTGTCGGGCAGGGAGGTTGGAAAGAAAGAGAAAGCCCCACAGGCCTGACAGACTTGGGGGAAGAAAAGGCCTGGCTGGCTGGGGGGAGGGAAAAGAAAGTCCATTAGATGGGACCTCCTGCCCTGAGCCCCTCCTCACCCCCAAACCTCACTCTCACACCTCCCACACACACATCCCCAGCCTCCTGCATCCCCCACACCGTCAGCCCCCTGCCCTGAAGGGCCTGGGCAATGCTGGATAAGTCCTCTAATTCCTATACAAAAGAAAGAAAATTAAATCAACGTTAGACCCACTTAGCTCTAATACTAACATATTCTGACATCATGTGGCAGGTCATTTAAGGGACACTGGTTAGCCTTAATATTGGAATATATATTCATACTGCATTAGTGACTCTGTGAGGGGAGAGACCTGACCTGCTGCAATTGCACTCCCTGGTGCTTTCACTTCCTCCCTTGTCTCCCCGCCATGATGATGGGTCATAACCCCACCCCCAAATATGGTCCCAGGCCAGAGACCCTACAATATTGCAATGAATGAATGTCATTGACACGGAGTTTCCACACTTACTGTAGCCAGGCATCCCATTTGTCTTGTCTTACCCCAAGTTTCACCTCACACAAAAACTATTTGCTTACAACATCAGACATAAATACACAAACAGGTCACAGCACATGGCTCCTGGGGAAAAAGAAAATCACTGACTTTCACATTTTTACCATGCACATATTGTAGAATCACAGAACACTCGAACCAGAAGGGACCACAAGAGGTGTTTGAGTCCAGTCCCCTGCTCTCACAGCCAGACCAAGCACTGTCTAGATCAGTGTTTCTCAACCTTTTTTTAATATAAAGTACCCCTTTTAAAAAAAATTAGAAGTACCCCCAGTACCTACAGTTTTCAGACACACACATTTTTTTTCTACCATTGCAACACATTTGTTTAAACAACTTAATCATAGCCAGGCGGGTGATGAAATTTTTGGGTGTAAAAAGTACAAAAATAATAAAGTGTTTTACAAATTAATACAAAAATTCAGTTTTCTCCAAATTTCAGTTGTGTTGACGTACCCCCCAGACTTCTCTTGAGTACCCCTAAGGGTACTCGTACCACTGATTGAGAAACACTGCTCTAGATCATCCCTGACAGGTGTCTGTCTAACCTGCTCTTAAATATCTCCAGTGATGGAGATTCCATAACCCCTCTAGGCAATTTATTCCAGTGTTTAACCACCTTGACAGTCAGGAAGTTTTTCCTAATGTCCAACCTAAACCTCTCTTGTTTCAATTTAAGCCCATTGCTTCTTGTTCTATCCTCAGAGGCCAAGGAGGACAATTTTTCTCCCTCCTCCTTATAGCACCCTTTTAGATACTTGAAAACCACTATCTAACAATCTGTCTATATAAAATAAATCAATTGAAATATAAATATTGCACGGACATTTCAGTGTATACGCTAAAGCAGTACAAACAAGACATTGGGTGTATGAAATTGATTTTGTTAGTGCTTTTTCTGTAGCTTGTTGTAATACCAGCTAAATCTCTAGCTGAGTTGAGGTACCCCTTGGAAGACCTCTTCATGTCTCAGGATACCCCTGGTGGAGAGCCGCTGAGTTAGATGACAGCTGAGTGGTGACCCACCATGTTCAGCACCCCATCTCACCGTGCGAGCCCCCTTCACCAGAAAACACTCAGTAACATATCATCCTCTGGGTGTTGCCCTAATGGAGAATATCCTAGCCATGCAGTTATTAATACTAGAAAAGATGCAAATAGGACCCAGGAGTCTTGGTTCTCCCCCATCCAATCCACTAAACTAGTCTCCCCTCCCACCCCTGGAGACCAGCCACAGAACCCAAGAGTCCTGGCTTCCCACCCCCATGTGCTAACCCGGTGTTTCTTAACCTTTTTTATGAAGTACCCCTTTTTAATATATATATATATATATAAGTATCTCCAGTACTTACAGTTTTCAGACACATGCATTTTTTTTCTACCATTGCAACACATTTGTTTACACAACTTAATTGTAGCAGGGCAGGCAATGAATTTTTGGTTGTAAAAAGTACAAAAATAATAAAACGCTGTAAAACGTAAAACAAAAATTCAGTTTTCTCCAAATTTCAGTTGTGTTGATGTACCTCCCAGACTTCTCTCGAGTACCCCTAAGGGTACTCGTACTACTGGTTGAGAAACACCGTGCTAACCCACAAGGCCGTGCTGCCTGTGTCCATCAGTAACAATTGACAGCTCCGTCCCACGGGGCGCAGAGAGTTAACACTGCATTTCCTGCAGCTCAGAGAAACTGTGAGGCGTGCGGTGCAGGGACTCAGTGTGGGGACTTGGGGGGGGGGAACGAGAAGGGATCCCTTGCTCTCCTGCTCCATCCCCACATGAGACCATCAAGAGGTATCTCGTGAGAGTGTGGATCCAGCAAAAGACCCAGCTTTCCTGGGCGCCCGGCGCTGCCCATGGCTTTGGAGTGCCAGCCCCAGGGCACAGTGTCTGTGCGCCTGCAGATTGGGCTGTCCCGAGAGGTCTACATGCTGCCCCCAGAGGAGCTGAGTTATGGGCATCTGAAGCACCTGGCAGTGGCACTGGTGGAGAGGAAGGTAATGGGGCAAAGCTGGACGGGTGTTAAGAAGGGGAGTACAGGTGAAAGAGCCAGGATCCAGTGTATGGGGATTGGAAGGGGTCCCCAGAAGGAAAACCAGGGGCTGCGCCCAGTTGCCCATAATGGGTTGTAGAGACACCATGGGAGCTTGTTCACTGTCTGATTAGTGCTGGGAATTTAGGGGTCAGCTAGTGGGAGAGCAGCAGGTGCCCTGACTTCCAGCCCCAACTATTCTAACCAGTAGTCCCCTTCCCCTCCCAGAGCCAGGAACAGAACCCCAGAGTCTTGGCTCCCACCCCCATGCTCTAACCATTAAGGTTTATTGCCTTGCCTGAGCTGGGAATAGACTCCAAGAGCCCTGCATTCTAGCACCTCCCCTGTTTTAACCACTAGCCTTCACTCCCCTCCCTGAGCTAGGAATAGAACCAAGGCATACTGGGCCCCCCTCTAACCACTATTCCTCCTCGCCTCTTGATGCCTGGAGATTGATTTGCTGTTCTCCGGAGCCAGATGAAATGAGGCACAGCCTGGGGGAAAGCACTGGGCTGGAGACTGCGGCACCCCAGAGGTAGGGTGGCAGATGGGAGGTGCTGGGTTGCCAGGCTCTGGGGGGCTTGCTTGCTGGGGAACCCCATGGCACTCAGCCCCTTTGGGGAAGCAGTAGGGTGGATGGGTTGAGTGGGGGTCTGATCTCATCGGTCCTGCAGACAGGGTTCAAGATGAGGGAGGGAGATGAGGTGATCCCAGTGTAGGATGGCCAGGGGGATATAGTGCCCTGTTCCAGGTCTGGGGAAGGGAAGCCCTTAATAGTGTGGAGGGGGGAGTCTGAGCCAGGAGGCCTGGATCTGCCCCCCAGCTGTGGCCTGGCACTCTCTCATTCACAGCAGTGTGGCTAATCGAAGGCCCCTTGGCTCCCCCACATTTCTGGCTGTTCCCCCCAGTTCCCATCACAGGCATCGCAGGACAGCACAGGCAGCACCGGGGTGGGTGGGGGTGCTGCAGCAGCCCTGCTGAGTCAATTTTTCCACTGCGGCTGGGGTCAGTGGGGCCCTGTCCTTCCTACCTGCGCTCTGAGGGCCTGCCCCCTCCCCGGCTGCCCAGTCCCTCTGCACTGAGCGAGTGACAGAGGAAACCACCCTAACCAGCAGAACAGCTCATTTCCGCTCCCTGCTCACTCGCTGCATTGGGGGCGGTGGGACTTGCCTAGCTGCAGGGAGAGGGAAATCTCATACAGCTCCACCCCAGAGGCAGTTGCATCTCAGTGCCAGGTAAGGGATCCCTGTATAAACAGCCATGCACCCCAGCCCATCAGCAGGTTCAGGAGCCTTGTATACACAACCACCATGTCCCTCCCCAGTGGCAGCTGCATTTTAGCTCTGTGCCATTACGCGAACACGCGGCATTTCTATACCAATGTCAGCATTTGAGAAGTGCTACAGGAACCCAGGAGGCTGGTGTCAGGGGTAACCATCTGTGCTCCCCTCCCCCTCCCTGAATCCCTGGCATGCTTGGGGCTCTGTGGGGGTTTACCCAGCCAGGGAAGGATGCTGGGAAGAGCTGGAGCCTATAACCTGGGAGCAGCAAAACCTGGAGACACAATAAAGATTTCCTGGCTATACTAACCTGGTCTGTTCTGGTCCCATCTTCTCCCGGAGAAGCTTTAATGTGGGCTGCAGGGACCAGTCACAGGCCAACCATTACCAGCTGAGAGAAGCCAGACTGTCCTGGGACAGAGTTTCCTGTCTGGCTCCCCCAAAATTCTCCAGAAAGAGCCCAGGACTCCTGAGTTCTGTACCTGGTGGAGGGAAGGGGGCTGGGATCTGGCTGGGGGGTTGGGGCTGGGTTCCAAATCCGTGTCTCTCCTAGTTCCCCGAATACGGCTTCCTGGGGATGTCGGACAAGATCCTGCTGTTCCGGCACAACGCCACCTTGGAAAATGTGCTGGAGCACCTGGGGCCAGGCAGCGTTGCGGGCGCTGGGGACCTGATTGAGGTCGTGCTGTCAGGTGAGAGTCCTGAGGCACCTGGGCCTGTGGGTGCCAAGCAGGGCCTGGAGGGGGAAAGCCTCAGCTTTGCCTTCCTGCCCTGCCAGTCCCCCGCTCTGAGGTAGATCAAAACTGGCACCCCCTACCCCAGAGGGGAGAGACCCCAGGTCCTATTTCTCCATCCTAGCCAGTCCCTATGTCGTCGGGGCAGATCGGAGCCAGCGCCCCATAGAGGCTCTGGATTCCCACGCCCCCTTTCAAGCCCACCCCCCTCCTCACTCTGCTCTCTCCTGTCAGCCTCAGTTTCCCTGGATTTCACTATTCGTCCCCACGTGCTGCTTGTTCACTCCTACAAGGCCCCGGCCTTCTGCGACTACTGTGGGGAGATGCTCTGGGGGCTGGTGCGCCAAGGGTTAAAGTGTCAAGGTATGGAGCAATCTGTGTCCACCCCTCCCTGTGACTGACCCTGTCTCCTTCCTCCCTCCTGACCCCAACCCCCCTCTCCTCCCTGGATTTCACTATTCGTCCCCACGTGCTGCTTGTTCACTCCTACAAGGCCCCGGCCTTCTGCGACTACTGTGGGGAGATGCTCTGGGGGCTGGTGCGCCAAGGGTTAAAGTGTCAAGGTATGGAGCAATCTGTGTCCACCCCTCCCTGTGACTGACCCTGTCTCCTTCCTCCCTCCTGACCCCAACCCCCCTCTCCCAGGCTGTGCTTGGCCTGAGCGTCTGGGTCCCACTGAGCAGACAATGCTCCCTCCAGGCCTCCTGGGTCCTTTTGGCACTCATTCTCCCTCCCCCCAGGCCTGACTGAAATCCTCAGCCCTTTGCACACCAGTGCCGCCTCCTTCCAGGCCTGCCCAATATCCTCTGGGGCTCCCAGTCCCATGGCCAGGAGACCCAGCTCCCTCCATTCTGGGCCTGGCACAGGGTCCAGTCCTCACTGTCCCCTTCATCCAGGTTGTGGGCTGAACTATCACAAGCGCTGCGCCTTCAAGATCCCCAACAACTGCCGTGGTGTGAGGAGGAGCCAGCTGGCCAGTCGCTCGCTAGGCGCTACCACCAGCCCCAGGACTCCTGGCCTGGGCCAGAGTCCAGAGCGTGGGAGGCAGCTTGGAAGAGGTAGGAGCCAGGAGCCATGCAGCCGGGGGGAAGGATTCCAGTGGGGGATGGCTTGGGTGTTGGGAAGGTCGACTTCTGGGATGATGGCTACACCATGCAAAGGAATAGATGTGTGCTCTAGCCACTGCACCAGTCCCCTCCCAGAGCTGGATAGAATTCAAGGGCTCAGGCTGCTCCCCGCCCTGCACTGGTGGCTAGATGCGATGGGGAAGGCTAGGTAGAGACTCGAGATAATTCATAATGGGGGGGGTGGCTGGCTGGAAACGTGGCCGAGCCCCTGGGAAGTGGGGCGCAGTGAAGGATGGAGACAAGGCAGAGTTGGGACAGTGTGGGACACTCGCCCTGCTCTAACATGGTTGCTGGTTCCTCTGCAGATCAGTCAGTGGAAGTGGGGCCAGCGGACGCAGGGCCCTGCACTGACTGGCCGCCCACTCTGGAAGGACTGGATGGATCTGAATCGGATCAAGGTGCCACATACCTTCCAGATCCACTCGTACACCCGGCCCACCATATGCCAGCACTGCAAGCGCCTGCTCAAGGGGCTTTTCCGTCAGGGGCTGCAGTGCAAAGGTACCACCAGCTGGGACCATACAGAGGATTGGGGTACAGAGCTGACTCCCGGCTCGGACCCTGTTGGGGAGGCTGGGGGTGGGCTCTGACTCTGGACTGGGACCCTGCTGAGATTGAGGGATTGACTCAGGGTCACTGTGCCCACCGGGATGCAGGGATACAGAACCTGGCAGCCCAACTTTACTGCCCCCATCGCTTCGCCATTCAGCCCTGGAAATGCCTTCGGATGGCATGTCCCAGCAACCGCCTCCTCATTTCTCTACCCCGGGAAACTGTTTGCTGGCACAGGGGAGCTGCATTCACAGGTGGCCTCCCTGCCCTGCAGGGACCTCTTGTCAAGAGAACCCTGTACTGAGCGTGGGGAAGGGGGATCAAAGGCTCCATGGCCTCTCCCCACTCATCTGGGGATGTCAGAGAACTGGTAGGAAAGGTCTCAGGTGCCAGGAGAACACATGTCATGGGTACCAAGGGAGAAGTAAGGCTATTCAGGGGACAGAGATAAAAGGGAGGCGCTATAAGTAATTCAGCAACACTGCCTGGGTCTGCAAAGAGCCTGAGCTAATGTCCCCTCCCTGCCCCATGCAGCCCCATCCTTACCTGCTGTGCCCAGGGCCAGGCCCTCCCCCACACACTCATTTGGCACGAACTGCTCGCAGCGCTTGTGACAGTTGAACTTGCAGTCTGTGAGGGGAGAGGAGATGGGCTGCAGGGCTAGGGCAGACTGAGGCTGTGTGCCAGCCAGGATCCTGTTCTCTTCCTTCTGGGGGCCTCCAGAGCTGTGGGGTTGGGTGCTACTCTCCACTTCAGCAAAGGGGGCAGCTCCCCACCTAGGCTATGTCTAGACTGCAGGCTTCTTTCGAAAGATGCTCTTTCGAAAGCATCTTTCGAAAGAGCATCTTTCGAAAGAAGCCTGCAGTCTAGACATAGCCTAGGTGGGGAGCTGCCCCCTTTGCTGAAGTGGAGAGTAGCACCCAACCCCACAGCTCTGGAGGCCCCCAGAAGGAAGAGAACAGGATCCTGGCTGGCACACAGCCTCAGTCTGCCCTAGCCCTGCAGCCCATCTCCTCTCCCCTCACAGACTGCAAGTTCAACTGTCACAAGCGCTGCGAGCAGTTCGTGCCAAATGAGTGTGTGGGGGAGGGCCTGGCCCTGGGCACAGCAGGTAAGGATGGGGCTGCATGGGGCAGGGAGGGGACATACCCAGCACTACCCTGTTCCTGCCCCCTGCTCAGCTTGCCCACTGGAAAAGCCTAACGTATCCCCCCATTAGACCCTGGGAGAGTGTCTCACTGCTATCCCACAATGAACTGGGCACAGACCAGTGGCCCAATCTTGTCTACTGCTCTAGGCCTGGCTGGAAGCTCCACCCCTTGTTCCTCTCCCTGTACTGGGCATAGGACCCAGGAGTCCTGATTCCCCTTTCCCCACAAGGGCACAAACTTATCCTAAGGCCCAAAGCACTTCCTGCCCTGCCTCCCTTCCCCATTCTCCTCCTGTCCCTAGCCCCACACCCTCCCCACTCCATATCCCACCCTGCACTCACCCCTGCCAGCCCCCCACAGCCTGCGCTGCATCTAGCCCTGAGCTCTCACCCAGAGAGGTGTCTGTCTGAAGAGAACCATCCCCACCATGACCCAGGCAGTGCTGGGAGCCCCCACCCTTCCCTCTTTCTATGCCTTCTCTTCCACAGGCAGTGCACAAAGCCCAGACACACTCTTCCTCCTGCAGGAGTCTGAGGGGATCCAGTGCTCGTGGGTGCCAGGACTGTGGAGGTCGGGAGGGGCACAGGGTCCAACATCTGCACATTTGTCCTGGCCTTGCCTTGGGCAGGACAGGACAGCCAGACCCAATTTCCAGTTCCAGTCAGGGAACAAGGAGGGCCTGAGCCCTTACTTGTCCTACCCCTGCTTCCAGCCCCTGCCTGCTCTAACCACTGGCCAGCACTCCCCTCCCAGAACCAGCACAGAACCCAGGAGTCCTGGTGTTCAGTGGCCCCATTCTAGTCCCTAGCCCCCGTCATACTACGCTGCTTTCTGCAAGGCGAGCAAGGAAATCTCTCCCCCCCTTCCGCACACAGATGGAGAGAGCCCAGAGTGCCCATCTAGCAAGTCAGAGCCAGAGGAAGAGGAGGCAGACAGGGAGGGCAGCAGTGGCCACGGGCTGGCAGACGACACGGAGGAAACAGAGACCAACCCTGGGACTCCTGAAGCAGAGCTGCACACCAACCTCAGGTAGCTCTGCCCCCAGGACAGCTGTGAGGGAGGGGAGGGGGGCTTCGGGGTCTACTGCTCCATAGCACGGAGTGGGGAGGGACTCGCCCTCCAGTGAGCTCAGAATTCTGGCTCCCATCCCAGCTCTAACCACCAGACCTCACTTCCCTCCCAGCAAAGGCGTAGAACGTAGGCACCCTGACCCCAGGGAGCCTGATAGGTAGCACAAGCCTATACCTTTGTGGGGAGTGCAGTGACTGAGTCCCTGTCTCTCCTGGCATCAGCCCCTGTTTCAGCACCTACATCCCCTTGATGCGGGTGGTGCAGTCCTGCCGGCACACTAAGAGGCGGCGCAGTGCCGTCCTGCTGGAGGGATGGATGGTGCACTTCACCAGCAGGGACCCCATGGTGAGTGCCCCAGCTGGGAGAGAGGGTAAGGTGACAAGAGGGGCAAGGTGAAGCCTCAGGCAGGCTATAATGGGGGGGTGTAGTCAAAGGAGAATGAAGGCTGGGCCATGAATGGGCAGGGCTACAGGTGGATCAGGGGTGGAGTCCCAGGTAGGGACAGTTATAGGATGGCTCAGAGGAATCAGGGAGTGGGGGTCCAAGGCTGGTATATGGGGAGCAGGCAAGGAGATTATTGTTGGGTTGGGGTGCAGGGCAGCAGAGGTTTGGGTTGGGGAGCTTGGGATAGGATGAGCACGTGTGCCCCCGAATAACAGCTCTGTGCCCTCCAGCGGAAGCGCCATTACTGGGTGCTGGACAGCAAGAGCCTGAGCCTCTTCCACTGTGAAAGCGGAAGCAAGTTCTATAAGGTGAGGTGTCCCCTCCCGTCCCCTTGGCTGCCTCCCTTTCTCCGTAGTGCTCTGCTCCCCTGAGCCCCAACTGAAGCATCCTGCATTCCCCCCACCCCCTTGCAGGAACCTCCATCCCTGCTCCCACCCCTGGAAGAGCCCAGCCACTTTCCAATGGTCTTGTTCTTCCTGCAGGAGCTGCCGCTGTCTGAGATCCTCCAGATCCGCCCCTGGGAGGGGCTGGCACCACTGAACCCCAGTGGGAGCCCCCCCTGCTTTGAGCTGGTGACAGAGGCCCTGGTGTACTATGTGGGCGAGCACAGCAGCGAGCAGGAATCAGGGCAGGTCTGGACAAGGTCGGAGGCTGGGAAGGCTTGGGCCAAGGCCATCCGCCAGGCTCTCTGGCCTGTGAACTCTGAGCCTGACAGCTCCGCCCAGGAGCCCAGTGAGTACCACAGGGAATCCCTGAATAGGCAGCCATACCCCTCACCTCAGAGCCAGCTGTGTCTGAGCTTAGCGTGGGACCCCTGGTTCATTAGCTTGCATGCTGCTCTGCAGAGCCAGCCACATCTCAGCACTGGGCAGGGATCCCTGTGTTAAACCATGTCCCTGTGCCAGCTGCGTCTCAGTGCGGGGTGAATAATCTCTTTATAAGCATCCCCAGTTACCATCCGAGTGGTGGCTGTCCTGCTCCCAGGAAATCAAGGCAGTGGGTCTGGATGTCTCAGTCCCCAGCTGGGTCAGGTTCTTCTCACATCCCCACTGTCTCTTTTCTCTACAGATTCTGACTTTGAGTCTCCAGATGACATGGTGAGTTGGAGAGGGTGGCAGCAGGGGCTGGGGAATGTTGGGGTGCATGACCTGGCACAGGGAAGGGGGTGAGCAAATATGGGGGCTGGTGTTAGAGTGAGGAAGCCAAGCACAGGGGATGGTGACAGGGGTATGGCAGCTGGAGCATCAGGCCTGGCCTGGCATCATGCCTCAATCCCCCCGTCATGGCATGTACACACCCTGTCCCTTGGAGTGCGGGTACACTGCCTAGTCAGCTGTTGGACTGTCAGCAATGTCTTTCAGTCTGTAAAAACAATCCTCAGTCTCAGGTAGTACAACCTAATGGCTAGAGTCAATAGCGACAAAAGTTAATAGTATCAGCCCTTCGTTTAGTGATACCCCTAGAATCACCAGGGGTAGCCCTCGGTTTAGGGCAGCACAGCCCAATCGCCAGCATCCATAGTTTAGGGCACAGGCCCCAGTAGGGGGACCCGGGCCCATCCCACCAGGGGCCACGCGAGTGGCAGAGCGCTCCACCACTCCCTCAGTAGGGAATCCAACTGCAACACGCCAGGTGCACACGGGTGGGAGATACCACTATAACACCCTCCCTGGGACACTTCCTCCCAGAGCTAGTACGGGGACATTCCATGTGGTCTCTGGGTCCTCCGGTTCCACTGCAACAGTCTCTCCCTGGGGCTCCTCTGTCCCTGGCAGCTCGAGGTTGTCTCCTGGGTCTCTGGCTCCTGTCATCTGGGTCCTTGGCTGGCGCTCCTGCTGGAGGTCGTCGTCCTCTTCCCCCTCCTGGTTCAGTGCAGGGTACGCACACCTCATCACACACCCCAACACTGTCCTTGTCCCTCTCCCCAGGACATCAGCCGTTCCTACCAGATCTTCCCTGACGAGGTGCTGGGCGCTGGGCAGTTCGGGGTGGTGTATGGTGGTAGGTGCCCTCCCCTGCCCCTGCTCCCCAATTCCCACCCTGGCTTCCCTAGTAACTCCCCTTCCTCTGTGCTGATCCCTCCACTGCCCCCTCGTGCACAGCTTGGGATCCTGCTTTGCATAAGCACCCTGGGGGAGAAAACGTGTTCACTATGGCTCCCCAGGCGCCAGAGCTGTGCCCGTACTATCACCATCCTGCTTCCAGGAGCTCTCTCGCAGCATGCCAATGCACATATCCTGAGCCCTGCCACACCCTTCCTTGCCTCAGCCCTGCTGTCATTCTTCCCCCCCAGCCCTGTCACACATCCCTGCTCTGCCCCCCCAGGGAAGCACAGGAAATCTGGCCGGGATGTGGCTGTCAAAGTCATCAACAAGCTGCGCTTCCCGCCCCGGCAGGAAAGTCAGCTCCGCAATGAAGTCTCCATCCTGCAGGTGAGCCCCTGGGAGGTGGGAGACACAAGGACCTGTGGGGGGAGTGGAGGAAGAAGGGGATGTGTGGAAAAGGAGACCCCTGAGGGGGTCATGGGTACTTCCCTCTGGGAGGGGCTGCCACTCACAGGCCCAGAGTTCTCCTCCATGGACATCTGGCATATCTGCCCCACCCCAGCAGGGAATAAGGGACAATGGCTGGACAAGCACTGCTCCCTCTCCCAATGAAGCTTTACTGGGTCCTTGCCCCCCTGGAGGGAGCTCCCAGGTAGCCCAGCTATGGGAGAAGGGCCTGCAGGCTTAGGGGTAGGTCTGAGTGGTGGGGTGAGTTCTTGGACTATGTGCGCTGAGGGGGAGGGCAGAGGAAGGCCCCCGAGGCAGGGGATCCAGCGTCTTCTCTCCTACCAGAGCCTGCGCTCCCCCTGTGTGGTGCACCTGGAGTGCGTGTTCGAGGGCCCCGACCGGCTCTTCGTGGTGATGGAGCGGCTGCATGGCGACATGCTGGAAATGATCCTATCCAGCGAGACCGGGCGGCTGCCTGAGCCCCTTGCCAAGTTCCTCACTGCCCAGGTGGGTGCCCCAGCTCTTCCCCCTCCCTCAGCCTCGCATCAAACTGTCCTGCCAGGGCTCCTCTCAGATGTCACCACTGGGCACATTAGTAATCTGCTCCATCCAGGTTCATGCACTGCATGCCGCTCTGCATCCTTGTGAAAGGCACACACCTCCACGCGCGGGTCCTCCCCCTGCAGCACGCCCTTCGCTCCTGTGCGGCCGCTTCCCCCCTCTGCTCATGACACCACTGTGCTCTTGTCACCATCCCATGCCACACCCAGGCTCACCACTCAGGCCATTCAGCAAGGTGAAGTACTTGTGCACTTCAGCACTGCACATCATTGCATGCTCCTTGCCATCTCTGTGCATATGCACACACCATCCCTTCACTGCTCCCCGATGCCTGGCCACACCTGGGTCAGAGCTCACACAGCACTCACCAGCACGTGAGCATGCAACAGTCCTCAAGCCACATCCAGTCTATGTGGGGGCCTGGCAGTACTCCCGCCACGTGGCATGTAACTACCCCCTCCAGTGATGCTCCCCTTGTGCTTGCAGATCCTGTCTGCCCTGCGTCACCTGCACACCCAGAACATTGTGCACTGTGACCTCAAGCCAGAGAACGTGCTGCTGACCTCAGATGAGCCCTACCCCCAGGTGAGAGAGAGCCCCCATCCTCCCTCTCTGAAGCTCTGCCCCTGTTTCACCTGCTCAGCCCTCTTCCCTGAACATGCATTCCAGCTCTTGCCCCATCCTACCCTCTCTCCCTTCCCCCTTACCTGCCTGGGATCGGGACAGATCTGGCGCCCCTCGAGAGGAGAGGCCCGATGTCCTTGAGCTGGCTGGTCCTGCTCATTGCTGGGCCCCACAGCAGGGAAATGCTCCATATTTCCCATCCCCGTGCTAACCCCTCACCTCTCAGGTGAAGCTCTGTGACTTCGGCTTCGCCCGCATCATTGAAGAGTCATCTTTCCGGCGCTCAGTGGTGGGAACCCCGGCATACCTGGCACCTGAAGTGCTGCAGCAACACGGCTACAACCGCGCTCTGGACATGTGGGCTGTGGGGGTCATCATCTACGTCAGCCTGAGCGGCACCTTCCCCTTCAACGAGGAAGAGGATGTCAATGATCAGATTCAGAACGCAGCTTTCATGTTCCCTCGGCAGACCTGGGCCAGCATCTCGCTGGAGGGTGAGACGCCTCCCACACCACCCCGCATCCCCCTCCCACTGCCCTTGGACCACCACATGCAGACTGAGTACTTTCATGTACCCACAGCAGCCTATATTAACCTGCACTTCTCCCTCATGGCATGCCACTTGTAGCACACCACCCTCACACTGCCCTGCACCTCCAGAACATGACCTGCATGTACCTGCAGCAGCCACAGGGCAGAGGGTCTTAGCCTTTTTCTGAGGCCCCATGAAACATGCTAAAAAACTCCACTACCCACCTGTGCCACAACTGGATTTCTGCATATAAGAGCCAGGACTGGCGATAAGGGACAGCAAGTAGAGCAAGCTATGCTGCTCAGATTTCTTCTTCATCCCCAGGCAGCAGGACTCAGGACCCTGGGCTACAGGCTTTCTGCCCTGGATCCCAGTGAGTCTAACAGGGGTCCTGCTTGGCAGACCCCCAGAAACCTGCTTGTCTCTCCACCCCAACCCCTGGTTGAGGACCAACTGCCCTAGAGCACCTCCAGGAAATATGGGTGTGGGAGGGAAAGGACCCTCTCCCCTCCTTGCAGCTGTTAGCCCCATCCCCA